TCCATACAATGGACTACTACTCAGCCATAAAAAGGAAAGAAGTTCTGATACATGCTACTATAAGGATGCATCTCAAAAAACATGATGCTGAGTGAGAGAAGCCAGACACAAAAGGTCACATATTGTATGCTTGCATTGAAAGAAATGTCCAGAATAGGCAAATCCACAAAGGCAGAAAGACCAGTGGTTGCCAAGTTTGGGAGGAGGGAGGAATTGCCACTGAGTATTCCTTTTGATGAAAGTGTTTTGGAACTAAACAGAGGTGATGGTTGTATAGCATTGTGAATTGTGAATTTTAACATGGTTAACTTTAGTTATATGAATCTCTCCTCAATATTTAAAAACCAATGATGATGATGGGCAGAGTTGGGTTTGAATCCCATCTCTATTTCCTGCTGTGTGACCTTGGGCAACTCAACCTCTTGTGCCTTGGTTTGCCTCCTTATAAAACAGGGAGGAGTCAATGAGTATGTCAAATTTGTAAAACAGTCCGTGGCATGCAGTAAGTGCTGGTTAAATTTCATTTGTACTTGACACATGCCCTATGCATTTGAACTATATTCCTTTGTCCTTTTCTTCATGACAAACTCCTGGCCTTGATTTCCCCCTGTGGATGTCTCTGGCCAAGGGCATGGCTTCAGAAGGCAGGAGTCATATCTGATTGTACTGTTGGAAAGGTCTGATGAATAATACACTCTGCTCTCTGCCTCTTCTCCCAGCAACTCTCCAGGCATGCACCCTTCCTTTCTTTCCTCCACACCCCCAGTGCCTGGCCCAGCGGCTGGCGAAGAACAGATGTGCCAGGAAATTTTGCTGCCTGGCTGTCTAACTTTGGCCCAGAACCAGGAACCTGTTTTGTGCCTCGCACAGCTAGGTTTGAATCCTGATTCCTGTGTGACCTTGAGCAAGATGCTGCACCTAGCATGGCTGGCGTGGCTCAGTGGTTGAGCATTGACCTATGGACTGGGAGGTCATGGTTTGATTCCTGGTCAGGCACATGCCCTTGTTGCAGGCTCAGTCCCCAATGTCGGGTGTGCAGGAGGCAGCCAATATGATTCTCATCACTGATGTTTCTATCTCTCTCTTCCCCTCTCCCTTCCTCTCTGACATCAAATTATATATATATATATCTGTACCTCTCTGAGTTCATTGGATAGGGGAGATAATAAGCATATGTACTTCATGGGGTGGTGTTGGGGGACTTTGGTGAGATTATGTAAAGTGCTTAGCACCCTGCCTAGCACACAGTAAGTGCAGTTGGTTGGATGCTGACCTGCAGAGGATAGGCCCATGTCCTAACCCCCCAGGACCTACGAATGTGATCTTATTTGAACAAAGAGTAAAGAGGAGGCCCATTGGCTGGAGTGGAGTGAGTGAGGGGGAGAGTGGGGGAGGTGAGTGCAGGAAGGTGACAAGCAGATTGTGCAGGTCCTGGTGGGCCGCAAGGAGGACTGGGTTTTATCCTGAGTGAGGTAGGAGCCCTGAAAGGCTGTGAGCAGAGGAGGAAGATGCCCTGTATCTGATGTTCACAAGTGTCCTCTGGGGCAGCGGTCGCCAACCAGTGGTCCGTGGTCCGTGGACCACTGGTGGTCCGTGAGGTCCAAAAGGTTGGCGACCGCTGCTCTGGAAGCTATGCAGAGAAGAGACTGCAGGGTTGAGGGTGGAAACCACAGCTCAGGGAGAAAGTGACTGCACCTCTAAGCCAGCAATGATGGGAGCTGGGGCTGGTTGGGTGCTGAGGGAGTGGGGGAAGCCAGATTCTGAATAACACTGAAGGTGGGGTGGGCAAGGCTTGCTCATAGATCAGATGTGGGTGAGAAAGAGGAACTGAGGAAGTTCCCAAGCATTGGATTTCAAAGGCCCAAAACAAGGCCTTCATGAAAACAACAAAAACACACGTGTTGGGGAAGATATGGAGAAACTGGAGTCCTCCTACATTACTGGTGGGAACATCAAAGGTGGCGGCTGCCCTGGCCAGTGTTTTCAGGGGTTAGAGCATTGGCCCAAGCACTAAAGGGTCTCGGGTTTGATTCCCAGTCAAGGGCACGTGGCTGGGTTGCAGGTTCAATCCCCGGCCTCGGATGGGGTGTGTGAGGGAGGCAACCAATCGATATGTCTCTCTCACATCGATGTTTCTCTCTCTCCCCCTCCCTCCCTCCCATCCCGTCTCTCTAAAAAACAATGGAAAAAATATCCGCAGGTGAGGAGTAACAAGAACAAAAAAGTTAGAGAATTGCCATATGGTTCAACAATTCCACTCCTATCCATATACCCAGAGAATGGGGAACAGGGACTCCATAACTGCACACACATGTCCATAGTAGCACTAGTCACAATCACCAAAAGGTGGAAGCACCCCAAATGTCCATCAACACAGGGATGGATGACTAAAATGTGGCCCATCCATACAAGGGAATATGACTCAGCTATAAAGTGAAATTAAGTTGTTTTTTAAAAAAATATTTTTATTAATTTCAGAGAAGAAGGTAGAGGAAGAGAGAGACAGAAACATCAATAATGAGAGAATCATTGATCAGCTGCCTCCTGCACACCCCCTACTGGGGATGGAGCCCACAACCCAGGCATGTGCCCTTGACTGGAATTGAACCCGGGACCCTTCAGTCTGTAAGCTGACGCTCTATCCACTGAACCAAACCAGCTAGGGTAGGAATGAAGTTTTGATATGTGCTACAAGGTGATGAACCCTGAAAAGACTATGCTCAGAGAAAGAAGCCAGACACCGAAGACACATTGTGGACGAGCCCATTGATAATGAAATGTCCAGAACCCGCAAACCCACAGAGACATAAAGCAGACTGGTGGCTGCCAGGACCTGGAGGGGGATGGGGAGGGACTGCTAATGGGAATGGAACTTCCTTTGGGGGTGACGGAAATGTGTGGGAACTACATAGAGATGGTGGTAGCACAACCTTGTGAACGTACCAAAGCCACGGAATTGTTCACATTAAAATGGTACATTTTATGTTCTTTGAATTTCACCTCATTACAAAAAGGGAAGAACTTTCTCTGACTCCCCCAACCTCTACCAATGAAAACTAGGGCCCACTCCTGGAGACAGGTGGTGGTGACGTTTACACAGCAACGTGAATGTACTTAATGCCACTGACCTGTACACTTAAATATGGTTGAGCCTGCCCTGACTTGTTTGGCTCAGTGGAAAGAGTGTCAGCCTGCGGACCCAAAGGTCCCAGGTTCGATTCTGGTCAAGGGCATGTACCTTGGTTACGGGGACATCCCCCGTAGGGGGTGTGCAGGAGGCAGTTGATCGATGTCTCCCTCTCATTGATGTTTCTGACTCTCTATCCCTCTCCCTCCCTCTCTGTAAGAAATCAGTAAAATATATATTTTAAAAAATAGTTGAGCCCTAGCCAGTTGGCTCAGTGGATAGAGCGTTGGACTGCAGACGGAAGGATCCCAGGTTCAATTCCGGGCAAGGGCACATGCTTGGGTTATGGGCTCGATCCCCTATTGGCAGGAGGCAGTCAATAAATGATTCTCTCTCATCATTGATGCTCCCATCTCTCTCTTCCTCTCCCTTCCCCTCTGAAATCAATAAAAACATACTTAAAAAAGTAGTTGAGATGCCCAGACAGCGTGGCTCAGTGGTTGAGCACTGACCTATGAATTAGGAGATCAGGGTTCAATTCCCACTCGGGGCACATGCCCAGGTTGCGGTTGCAGGTTCGATCCCCAGTAGGGAGCCTTCAGGAGGCAGCCAGTAGGTGATTCTCTCTCATCATTGATGTTTCCATCTCTCCCTCTCCCTTCCTCTTTGAAATCAATAGAAATATATATATTTTTTGAAAAAAATGGTAAGTTTTCTATGTGTATTTTACCACCATTAAAAAAACAAAGCCCTGGCCTTGTGAGTCTCAGCTGGCTCATCTCATGCACCAAAAGGTTGCTGGTTGGATTCCTGGTGAGGGCACATACCAGGTTTCAGGCTTGATCCCCAGTTGGGGGAGGGGCTGCAGGAGGCAGCCTATCAGTGTTCTGCTCTCACATTGATTTTTTTTATCTCTCTCTCTTCCTCTTCCTCTCCCTCTAATAATCAATTTTAAAAATCTTTAAAAAACAAAAAAAGCAAAAAGCAGCTCCTTTCCCTCTCTGCGCACTTAGCCAAACCTGAAATGACTGTGAGTTTCCAGGAGCGAGTCATCATGAAGGCAGGTGTGGCCCCTGGGCCCGGAGTGCCCCGACCCGCGGGACAACAACGGGGGAACGAGGAGACACCCTAGGAGAATGAAACAAGCAAGGGACACGAAAGAATGGAGGCAAGACAAGTTCTGATCAAGCCTCAAACTTTATTCTCACAGCGGCAGGATATATACTGTTTTAGGAATGGGGGGTGGGCAAAGGGGTCTATGGGCAGTAACCTATTACTAGAGATTATTAGGCTCCTGATGGCTGTGCTTATCAGTGGAGATGTGTGATTTAGCGGCTGTGTGAGGGTAGTTTATCTTTAACTGCTGGCCAATTTGCAAGACACAGGTGGTTTCTGGTAATTAGGAGTTTCTGGAGGAACCAGAAACTTATAGTTCTTAAGATGGCTTTGTCTAAGCCAATATCTTTAATGGCTCCCAACACCGGAGGACCAGGCTGGCTGTTGGTCTCTCTCACTGCTGCACCCCAGCACCCGGCCCAATGGTCTCTGCATAAGCTCAGAGGCCTTAAGTGGCCACCCAGCACCTAAAACAGCTTATCATCACTCAGCACCTTCTCTGCCAGGCGCCTCCCTCATGGGGCCCTCAGAGCCAGCCCTGGGAGGCAGGTGTCATTCATGATGGCCATTTGATAGAGGAGCAAAGGGGTCTCAGAGAGGGAAAGGGACCGGTTGGGGTCCTGCAGCCAGGAAAGGAGGGGACCTGGATTTATTGAGAGATGGGGAGGACTGGGGGCACGGCTCCTGGAGAATGCGGGGACCTGAGCGGCCACCCCTCCAAAGTCTCAGTGTCCCCAAGCCACCCCACTGTACTCACTACTTCTGGCTCTGCAGGTGCAGCGTGGAGGGTGCTCCCAGGTCCCCAAGAGGCTCCCAGGAGCAGTTCAAGTCGCCTAAGGGCCCAACACCATAGCACCGCAGGGGCCCCGGGCTGCCTGGAAGAGGGCGAGGGTCCCAGGGAGGGGAGGGGTCAATCCCCTGCCTCCTCACTGCCCAGAACCCGACCGCCCCCAAGTTCTGATCATCCTGGAGGATTATGGGGTCCCTTTCGCAATTGAGCGCTGGGCACCTCCACCCAGGCTTTGGGCATAACTCCTCCCCCCTCTACCATCACATCCTGTTACCACTCCAAGAGATCCCACCCCAGCCCTCACCCCCAACCGGGGCTGACTTCCACCCCCTGCCTCGCGCTCCCCACTCCTCTCTGCGCCCTGTCCCTGCCCAGGGAGGAGCAGAGTGGGGTCCGGACCTCTGTCATTCATCCACGAACTTGGCGTTCGCCCTGGAGATTTCGCGCTTTAAGGCTGAGCGCGCGGTAGAGCGCCCCGCGCGAGCTCGGCCCAGAACTCACCCTGGACACTTGTCCGCGGGGACAGCAGCAACAGCAGAGGCAGCAGCCGGCAGGGCGCGCCCCAGGCCCCCCTCATGGCGGCCCCTGCGCCTCCGGGTCCCGCCGGGCCCTACGGCCGCGTTGCTCGCCGAGTCCAGCGCCCCAGCGGCGAGAAGAGCCACCCCTCCCAGCCGCCTCCGCACCTTGCGCTCGGTCCCCGCCCCTTCCCCAAAGCGGGAAGTCCCTGGGGGAGGGGGAGGGGGGAGGCGACTGGGGCGTCTGGGGGAGAGGGCTGAGAGCTCGGCCTAACTCCCCTGAAACTGAGCGCCCCGCCGGACCCCCCGTCCCCCGCCCCGCGCACCGCCAACACACACACACACACACACACACACACACACACACACACACACTGCAGAGTCATCTGCAACTTTTATTATTGCGGTTGGAGAAGGTTCTGATCTGTCCCCCTGTGAATGTATGAGCGGCCAGAGACAGGTATTCGCATTGGCCGTGGCACCCACAGCTGCCCAGTCCCCTGGTCTAGCAGAATATCTTGAGTTCCGTCTTGGTGCAACCATCGTTGCAGCACTTGTTGAGGAGGCTACCCCTGTCTGCATTGTCTCCTTCTTCGGGTGACCCGCAGAGATCCATAGGAATCCTGGGCGGGTTTGGTCAGGACCCGCCAGTCACTGGAGCCTGCTGCCTCTCCCAGCTGGCTGTGTGCATAGGGCTCAGTGTGTGGGAAGGCATCCCCTGCAAAAGATGAGAAGAGTTCATGCTTGGGGCTCAGCTTCTGTCACACTCAGAGTCCTGGCTCCTGCTTGGTCCAGCTGCTGTTCTGTTCTTGAGACATGGTCTCCTGGTTAAAGGTTTTGATTCCACTCAGGTTTAGGTTTCAGCTTAGATAGGTCTAATATGCAACCTCACTGAGCTTGACCTTCCTATCATTTCTTTTCCCTTACTCTTTATTTATGGAGGACCTGGTGGTTAAGAACATGGGTTTGGCAGTCAGACTGATTAAGCTTCAAACCAGTGTCTCAAAGTTATAATCCTGAGAAAGTGAATTTACTTCTTTGATTCTTAATGTCCTTTTCTGCAAAGTGAGGAACATAATAACTCCTAAGAACTTAGCGTTTCATGGAGAGTGTATATATACACATTCAAAAACACACAACACTTAGAACTGTGCCTGGCACGTGATAAGCACTCAAAATAGCCCTGAGCATTCATGGAGGGCTGACTGTGTGCCAGGCATTGTTTTAAGGCAGTGGTTCTCCCTTTAATACAGTTCCTCATGTTGTGGTGACCCCCAACCATAAAATTATTTTTGTTGCTACTTCATAGCTCTAATTTTGCTACTGTTATGAATTGTAATGTCAATATCTGATATGCAGGATGTATTTTCGAAAGAATCCTGTGAAAGGCTCATTCTACCCCCAAAGGGTTCACGACCCACAGGTTGAGAACCGCTGTTTTAAGGGCTTTTGTGGATAAACTGCTTTATTCCTCTCAATGACACCCCCATGAGGTGAGTGCTGTTATTATGCCCTCATTTCCCAGGGAACACCGCTGAGGCCAATTTGGCGGAGTAACTGCACAAGAACACACAGCTACGGAATTGTAGAGCGGCTGTTTGAGCCGAGAGGGCATGTCTTCTAGGTCCACACTTACATCATCACCACCACCACTATCATCATCATCATCATGACCAACATCTACTTTTCTGCCAGGGCCCTGCCCTTCAGGAACCTGGACCCCTACCTCCCGAATGAGCCCAAACTGGCCTCCTGCCTTCCTTGGACTGTGTCCTTACCTGTTATGACTCAATTTTGCCACCGAGCAAACTTGTGAGATGCAGGGACTGCCTTCCATTTGCAGATAAAGAGGATCAGAGAGGAAAAGCAACCTGCTGGGAGCGTCACCCACTAGGTGGCAAAATCTAGCCTTGGACACCCCACACCCCTCACACCCCCTTCTCCAAGGGGTTGGAAAGTACTTCAGTGTCGGCTTCCGAATGGTGCCCCCTGGAGTCCTGTAAGCAGCGGCCTTGCTCAGCGCAGGCTGGGCACATAGCAGGTGCCCCAGAAATAGCATTCTGTCCTTGGACCCTGAGCCAGGGGAGATGGCTCCACCCCCCAGTTTTGGCCAAGTGGTTCAACTTTGAGGATGCAAGTTGTGAGCAGGGACTTCCCTGCCCTGGCCCCTGGTCTCATCTTTGTCCCTGTCTCTAGGCCCATCCCATGTCCCGTATCTCCCTTTCCTGCCTTCCACTACCTCGCGCCTCACCCAATGCTTCCTGGGCCAGGTTGTCCGACCGCCTCTGTTGGACTGTTTCGCAGTTGCTGATGATTGTTTCGGCCAAGTCCAGGCCGCAAAGCTTCACTTCTTCGGATTCTTCCTGGGCTTCGGCTTCCAGCCACAGCCCCCCGACCAGCACCCACACGGCCAGCAGCAGCAGCAGTGGGTGCTTGGCCATGCTGGACGGGGAGACCTGGGACGCCAGAGTGAGCACAGAAAGGCAGGTTCCCAGTGGTCAGTGCCTCTGCTGCTTCCTGGCCTCCTATTTATATATCCAGCCCCGCCCACCCCACCTACACACACACCCAAACATCTGTTGTGGAGGAACAAGTGACCTCCTTTATCTCTTCCAGCTGAGGCGAGGCGACCATGGCCTGCACACCCCGACCTTTCCTGTTTCCCGGACTAAGTAAGCGATAACCTTTCTCCGGGGATGGGGTGACACAATTTGGCTCATTGTCATCTTCAACAGAGAGAAGCAAGAAGGCCGCCCTCCAGTCAGCAGAGACCAGGAACCTAGACCTTCACTAGACCAGGAGACAGGGGGCATCGGAGAGGGTTAACTTGAAACACAGGCAGGTAGGGCTGGGGTCCCATGGAAAACAAAGGCAGGTGGAACATAGGAAAGGGCAGACACGGACGTTTGAGCCGGCCTCATCACAGAAACCAACCAAGCAGAAATAATAAAATGTTTCTAGACTCAAAGTGGGAGGCATGGGAAAACAAGGGGGGGCCTGCAGCAAC